AAGCCTTTGTCTGTGATGGAAGTCAGTGTTCAGCTCAGTGATCTGTGCTCATTCAGCAGTGAGTAATTGTCTGCAACACGAGGGCTTCTTACACTTCAGCATAATTGGGACTAATAACACACTGACCTTCTGGCTAAGAGGTATTATGGTGGCTAGTTCTCACTATGCCTGACCTACATTTATCAGTTCACATGCTGTAAATTCCTGCTTTAGACCTTAAATATTTGATTTTAAATGAAAAAAGGCAAACAACTAATATATGGCTATGTAGCCATGTAAATGAGGCAATTTAGCTGTCATTTTTACCATAGGGCTTGAGATCTGCTTGAAATAAACTTCAAGAAGATTTTTGTGCTGTTTTCTACTCTATTTTATTTCTCCTGTATCTGAATATTATGGTAATGGCTGTTATAATATGCAAATGTAACCAAAAAGTAGAGAGTTAATTGAAATTATGTGATACTTTGAATGTTAAGGAATAAAATGTATTTGATGGTTTTCTTCCATGTGACACATCTCTGCCCATATATGAGGTTGCTTCATTTACATTGTTATTCTGATGTTATTCTGATTACAGATTTTTAAAAAAATATTTTTGTAGATCTAAGGAAATATACTGTAAGACCACTTATTGATTAATATTTTATTCACATGCGTAGCAATATTTAACTTTTAAAGAAATGCTTATCTGCTCCATGTTTTCCACATAGTTTATGTTCTACAATATTTAATCTTGATTTTCCACTCTCTCATGCTTTCTGCCAGTTGCATTCATTTTACTTATATTAGCATTTAAATAATCTTTTGAAAGAAGAACACAAAGGAACATTTATGTTTAATAGCAAATATTTCAGTTTGAACACAATGGAGAAAAAAATAATATAACTACATAAAAAAGAACAAATGTGGGAATTTCAGAATATAAATAAAGAAACATGGCTAATGTTTATGCTTCAAATATCTTAATTTGCTTTCCAGTATGTGGTAAATATGAATCTGTATGTGATTGCCAAGCCATACTTTCATACTATGAATTAGGCCTGGAAATGGAAGCCCCTAAGATGAGTCCTGCACACGTAACATTGATCAGTTGCACCATTGAAAGGGAAGGCATACATAGTAATCATTACATTACAAATAATGCAGCAATGTATACTTATATAGTAATTATGTTTTGATTTCTCTGTTCTTGAACTATTTTAAAGATTTTTTGATTCAGAAGGTCATGGCTACTGACCAGAAGACAGAGAGAAATTACATTTAGAGTTTGGGATTTCTTTACATCACATTTTTGGACAATATCCAGCTCTTCTTTTGGCTGTGTACTTCAGAATGACACAGCTATTGGGGAAATCGGGCTTTCTTTCCTCAGTGGAAATACTGTTTATTTTGTCTGGAAAAGGCAGAATCATTTCAGTTGGCTGCTGAAGATCACCATTTAAAATAAATTCTGTTTAGAAATAGTGTGAGGCTAGAAAACAGCTCAACGGTGAGTTGTTCAAAGCCTCTGTTTTTCTCCATAGTCCAGATTTTTTTATTGTGAAGCATCAGTTTCTCCAGCCCCTAGACTGTTGCCTTTTATCTTGCTGAATACTTATGGAGCACAGTAGAAGTTGAACACTCTGAATCTTTAATAAGCTTGTAACAGAGGGGCCAAGATCTAACATGATATTTAAATGTAGGTATTATCGTAGAATTTATGAAGTAGATTTTTTTTTTTAAATAATTGTTTTCTTTAGTTAAAAGCTTTTTTTTTTTTTTTGGTGGGATATGATAATCAGCCTAAGTTTCTCAAAAAGCTTTGTGAGAGTCAGTGTCTCTTGCTCAAAGCATGTGGTTACTATATCTGGAATAGACATGTGCACACACGTGTGTAGTGTTTATAATGGAACATATGTTTTTTTTGTATTTAGAAACCTGAAACCTGTACTTACTCATTTTTATTCCTTAAATGAAAGCAAAAGGAGTGATATTGCATAATTAAAAAAACCCTGCTATCAGCAGTACTTTGCAGCTGGGTATTAGTGCTATATTATGGTGCTCATGGAGTATCTTCCTTAAAGTGAATGCCATTGCTAGGTCCTGAAAATTATAATGGAAGTGTTAGAATGTAGTTATTTTTTAATGTACTTAATAGAAAGTAAATTACTGAAGATGAGAATTGCAGCTAGATTTATATTCCCAAACTTCTTCAGGTTTTAAGGTGGAAAGATATACAAAAGATCTTAAAAGGCAAAAGTTGTGGTTGCTTACCACTGTGTCACAGCCCAGGAAAAAAACCAAAACCAAACAACAAACCAAAACCATCTAATTCTTTTGCTGGTGTGCACTTCTCCTTGGGCAGCTATTGAGAGTCTGGCAACTTGCTGAAACTACTCCCTCAGTGCAACTACACTTAAGCACACTGAAGGTCAGTAGAAGTTTACAGAAGGAAGATAATACATAGTCTTGTGTCAGAAACAGCGCAGAAAATGGAAGACTGTTGTAGCTGGGATTTCTTTTGTCTCCAGTCATTGTCAGCTGCAGATGTCCAATGTTAAAGTAACAGCTCCATCTGCACACAGGCTTCCATGCTCCCATGCAGTTCCAGAACTGTTACTTACCCTGTGAGGACCTTCTTGTAGTAGTGCTAAAAATTACTGGAGTTCTAAAATTCCTTCTTGATGCTTCCAGCATGTTAACTTCTGTATTTTCACCTGGCCAGTTCAAGAGGCCAATTCTAATTTATAAGACCAGTTGAAATGAATCCATTTATATGTAATTTTTTAAAGGTGTGTGTCTGGTTTGCTCTTGATTACTTAGATACCTGCTGTTCCATAGTTCCTGGCGATCTCAGTAGAGTCAGAGAGTAGGATCAGTAGCCTTTTTTAGGCATTCAGAGGACACAGCCATTCTGATTTCATGTTTTGAGAGAATTTTGATTGACTTAAAAGCCCTGGAAAAAGAAAACTTCTATAGAAGATTTGGTTTTACCCTCAAGGTAATTTGGTGTTTTCCAATTTAAAATAAGTTACGTGAATGATATGTTTTGAACAGACACTATATGTGCACAATTACCATCAATATGTGCACCAAAATTTGTTACTAGGAATTCTCCCATATCACCTTGCATGTAGTGTAATTGAGTGTATTGGTTAGCAGCAACTGGATAATTGTTTTTGTAACTTAGTGGGTGTGCAAAGAAATATTTCCAGCTCGTGCACCAAGATCTTACGGAGTCCACATGAATGGACACTTATTTGTAATATGTCTGTGATTTGAGTTTAATGTCATTGATGGGTATTTCTGGAATTTGATAGCTATACAGTAAAATAACTTAAAATCTCTGAAGAAGCAGACCTGGGCTTCAGTCCTTGATCATGAACGTTGGAAATATGTCCAAAAGTTTACTGTGTGTGGGTACATCAGTAAACTTGTATTAAGTTCCCAGCCCCTTCCAGGTGTTTGAATGCACACTAGAGAACAGTAGTAACAGTTTCCAGACAGTGAATGTGACAGAATCTTGAGGAGAAATCTCCTTTTTATACCTGAGTGATGCAAAATTAACTGATAACAAGGTCATAATTTAGAAGATGTCTAAAATACTTATTTTTTTGTTTGTGTTTTTTTTAGTGAATGGTTCATGTTTCAGGGAGACTGACAAATCCATGTTTTAGGCACAGTATCTTGACTTGGGGCTCAGGTGTTATTGCTTCTATTTTTTTAATACATAGTTAACATCAGCAGTCACCCTTATAATGATACGACACGTACTGCCTCCAAGTATGGTGCCTGCCTATTCCTGCCATTAAGGAGGGTTGATTTAATCAGTAACATGGTCTAGCTTCTGTGACATCCTTTGGACTGAAGAAGGGAGTCAAATACAATTCTTTTGTCCCATTCTTGCAAGAACTATTTTGTAAATATTTGACAGAATTTCTTTGATTGTTATTATTTAGGTCCAGTTTCAAAGTTACTTTATTTACAAAATGAATACTTTAAAGCTATTAAGGGAATACTCTTAGTGTGTAGTTATAGTACTGTCAACAAAACGTGATTAAATAAATTGAATGTTGAAGACTTTCAGCTTATGGTTAACACCAGGTAATTAAAAGTAAGCACTGCTGTGGGAGTGCATTGTATATCAGCTGTACTCTTTACCTCATTAGCTGGGTTTTTGCATGTTTATGGAGCTAACTTGCAATTAAAAATGCCTTTAACGCATGCTTAACAAGGCCTTTTAGGTATTTGGAATAAAGTACTGTAATTTAATTGAAATTGGTATAGCATAAATAGATGTCTTAGTAATGTGAAATAAATCTCTATGCCAAACTTGTCACTTTGCATCTTTTCCTCGTGTATAATCTTCAATGCTGACTATAAGGCCTAACGTTTAACTTGTATACAAGATGGAGATTTTCTTCAACTCCAAAGAATGTTTTGATTTGTTATATAAGTAAAACTTTATACACAAGATATACTCAATTTCATGCCCTAGCCATATTTTAAGATGTGTAAATGTTAATTCATGTGGATATGTGTTTGGATGTTTTTAGCTCTAGTATATCTTTCTTTAGTTAGTCTTTTGTTCTGCATTGGAATACTAGATGGAGTATACTGTCAAAGCAGCCTTCAGAGTTGAGAATTTATCTGAATGTTTTAACTTTGAACACTGTGCTAACTTTTTAGAAAAGTTATGTGAAGTTTAAAACCAAGTCTTAGTGTAACTAAGGTGAAAAGTGAAACTTACTTGCAAGTCACTTATCCTGCTGATCTTCTAACTGGGTCCATGTTTGTCAGGGACTTTGTGGAAGTGGGTGAGATACTAAAGTGTACTATGAAAAGTAAACAAGGGTGAAGTGTCCTTTAGGTTAGGGTAGATTGCCAAAGATTTTGGAAGAAGACAACAGGGAAGGAATGGTACTTTTGCAGGACATAGAAGTGTATGTGCTGGCTGTATAAACAAGACTCATTACATGTGAACCTTTATACAGTATTATTTACTTTTTGTCTTCATATAGGAGTGTAGTTGTCCCAACGAAGAAATCAACCATTTCCTCTTCTGCAGCTGCTATGAGTATTCCTACGAATGCTGTCAGTGTGGTTTCTTCTTTAGATTCAGCACAAGCCCCAGATTTGTCAGTAGAATCTCCTGGTGAGTAAAGGGTAAATTAAACAACTTAAATCCCAACCCTTCCTGACTTCCTTCTCGCTCCCTTACCATTCACTCTGAATAAAAGTGAACAGGTTTTTTGTTACATGTTTTTTGTTATGTGTTATATAGAGGTGAGATGCTTTTCAGTCATTATCCATTCTCAAAACACTATCAGAATCTGAGTTATTAGTCACCTTCTGTTGTAATACTGATTAGTGTGTATATATACCGTGAGTCTATGTGTGTCTTACTTACACTAACAGTATTGATGCTTATTGCTAGTTGTATTTTTTTAGAGGAGAATGGGCCAATAATCTAGGAAGATGGTGCTTTACTTTTTTTTTCAACATCTAAAGTGTACATGGTATACCATCTGAATTATCAAGTCAGACAAAAGGACGTTTGAGACCTTCGTACCCCGCATATTGCTTTGTCTGTATCATTGCTGTATTCCCTCACTTAGCAGCTTGCAGGCCTGTATTCAGTATGTGTGCCTCAAACAAAGAGTTTATCCCCTCTGATAATTTTATTATCTCTAGTTTTGATGCTGTAGCTACACAAATATAAAAACTAACCTGTTTATTAATTAAAATAATAAAAAAAAAGTTTGCTAAACTTTTTGGGGCTTCTCCATTTGCCTTCGTCTAGCAGAACAAATGCAAATGTCTGAGCAGTATTTGTTATAATTTCAAGATTTCTCAGTTTTCATAAGGCAGCCATACTATATTAACTTGTAGTCAGTGTGAATACAGTATATTCTAAAGACTTAATTTTGTTACAAATTTTTTGTTATGCAAACTATAAGCTTGTTTATGAATTGTAGGGCATTTGTCCAAAGGTGTATGTGTTAGTGCTAAGTAGGACTGAAAGTGATATGCAACTGTTTCCAATAGCTTTAGCCTGAGGTCAAATTCAGTGTTGATGCTGAACTAATTGCTTTGGACAGTTTTTTCAGTGGGGACAAAATTGAGTAGGTTGTTTATAAGCAAGCGGTCCTTTGAACCTTTAGTCTCTCTGGTCATTCTGTATGAGATAAATGATGTTTAACCTTATATGCTGTGTCAAAGACATACTTTTCTACTTAGCCATGTTTAAGTCACAAGGCTGGGTAGGATCTCATAATTGTGCCCATGAAGTCAAGACTTAAAACTGATTTGCATCTTAATCAAGGAAATCTCAGTCTGAACCTGATTATTGGTGTTTCTTTTGAATGTTTGAGTTTCTTGCTTCCTGTTTTCATGAACTTAGATCCAAATTGTAGAGACTGAGGAAAAAAAATAGTATGCAATCTTTATGTCTCTTGTACTCATGTGTCTGGAAGATGTTTGTTGCCATCTTTAGCTTCTCATTGCATTTATTGGGAACATTAAAAAGATTTTGTTTTAGCCATGATAAAGGAAAGGAAAACCTATGGAAATCTAGTATGTTCTTATTTTTGCAAATGGGAAAGTCTGTTTTGTCCCTGAAATTGCAGGAGGTGACATTGTACTAGTCTAGGAGTAATGCTGGACTAGGAAAATTAGCTGTCTGTTAAGAAGTCACACTTCTTTGGGGAAGATTACCTCTGAGAAGCTAATATCTTTTTAAAATAATAAAACCTTATCTACATTGAAATTGTTTTAAAATAGTTGCTAATTTGTTAACTTACCCAGGTTATATATGGGCTTAATTATTACAGTTTCTGAAGTCAGTATTCATTTGCTTTTAATAGAAACAAAACTGATGAATTTTGATTTTTCAGATTTAGTCCATCTTTAAAGAATATGTGGAAGAAAAAAAAAGTACTCGTGTGCCTGTAGAACGTATTAGAAATCCAGACAATAAACAATACTGGTGTAACTTGTAACTGTGTGACTTCCAGCATGTCTGGGAGTTTTGGCAATAAACTGGGCATGTAATCTGAACGGATATGCATAAAAATAAATTAATCAGGATTAAAAATAGTAGACATGTTTAGACTGGCAATCTAATTAATTAAAAGAAAAAGTAAAGGGATAAATGAAATCATGCCTTAAACAGATTAAAACGTAACTGTTTCTTTTTTCCCCCGTAAAATAATGGCATGGAAACAAAAATTTTGCAGAGTTGGAATGGTTTACACTTCTGTTGCTCATGTAAGATGTGTGTGTTGCTCATGTTTAAGTTTGAAATAAAATTCTGTATAAGGCCTTTTGCTTTTTTGAGTATACAAATAGCAAAAAGCAAATTTCCTGTAAAACCTTAGTATGATATATAGAATTTTTCCCTGAGTTCAAATCACATGTTCTTTCACTAATTTGTTTTAATGCAGCAGAGAATCAATACATTTGTTTTAATTTATTTCAGCTAACATTCATTGTAAGTCTGCTCTACTTTTGTCATTAGGAAAAAATGAATTAAATGTTTGTTAAAAGTCCTGAGACTAGGAGTTAATGTAGTGCATATAAATTCTGTGCTTTTCCACCTTTTATATTAAGGCTATTTGCTAAAAATTATTGTTATGTTTAAAGATACATTTCAGCTGTTTTTTCTGAAGTCACAAGATTTTTTTTTAAAGGGAGTTCTGTATGCATTTGTTTGATTAGTTTTTAAAAACTAATTAAGCAATCAGAACTGTGATATAATAACATAAAATGCTTACATGTGGAGACATGAGTCAATTTACTCCCAGACAGATGAAAGGGAGATACAGATGTTGAAAAAGGTTTAAACGGCAAGTGAGGATGTGTTAGTTGTAATGGGTACATAAGCATAATTTGGGAATAAGTTTTATAGTACCGTGAGCATCATCCATCTGTAGATGTGATATCAACATTGCTTGGTGAAGGTAGGATCTATGTTGAAATGTTAGTCCAGATGCTTCCATTGCCATCTCTCTGTGCTTGGGATTCAACTTCCTCCTTCCCGTTTTCTTTTTTTTTCTGAAGTCTGCATCCTGCTTGTAGCTTAAGGTCTGCGAATATCTGTGATATTTGACCCTTAAGATTGTCCTAAGCTCATATCAAGTTGATGTGACATGTCCTGGTCTACCTGAATACAAAGTGTTGACAAGTTGGAAAGATAACCATCTAAGCTCACTCTGTTCCTCTGATACTTTGAAAGAGGATGAAAACATGTTTTGGCTTCAGACAGCCTGGCCTTTTTGCAGAATTTTCTTTGCCTTTACTCATACAAGCTGAAGAGTGTTTCACAGCACAGAAAGCCTCTTCTGAAAAGAAGTGTTCTACTTGTGGTCTAAACTTGCCTATCAGTATGTTGCTGATGATGACCAATATATGGGCTCTAGTTCTGCTGGAATTGCTACTCCAATTGTTGAAACATATTGGAAATGAAGGGAGAAAACAAAACCTCTTCCTGGTCCATGTTCAGCCAATAATCTCTCTTTTATGGAGGGTGGTATTCAGCAAAAGAGCATATTATAATAATAATAAAGTAATAAACTAAGGAGGAGGAAATTGCTCAAGTTGTTTCTTCCTTGGGTTGGTTTCTAGACTGAATGTGAGATCTGATATAGAAATTCTGCATATGCTATGTCCAGGAGTAGCTATTGAAAAGGCACAACTAATGTTTGAATAGGCAGGACATGGCAGAGTTGTCTGAGCTATTTTAAATATTCTAATGGAGTACTTGTATTTTCATTTGTCACTTAGTTTTTCTTTTAAATGTTTCGATTACAGTTGTCATGTTCTAACTTTTTAAAGCTGTTTTGCAGTCTGCACTCCCACTGTTTTCTCTGATGCTCTGAGTTTCTGTTTATGTACTTGAAGGATTTCACAGGTGTTTTATTAGCGCATCACTCTAAAGAATGCAGTCTGGAGGCTTTCACTATTCAGTTTGTAAATGATAGTTCAAATATAATTTTAAAAGAGGGAACATGAAAAGTCTATAAGAAGCAGGAGGGAATTGCATCTTGTCCTTACTAGACACTGCATGTAGAAAAAACTGAGAAGTTCCACTCAATTTCTGTTGCCTGCTTCCTCTTCTTCTCACGTGAAGTTCTTTGGGTTTCACTTGTTTTGCCTCTGAGCCACACAGAGCTGCCAGCAGGATTTCTGTTTCTCCTGAGCAGGGACATGGGCTGTTCCCCAGAATGTGTAATCATAAACAAGACCAAGACTGAGATAAAAAGGATGTGGATACTTGGACGAAACCTAGGAATAAGAAGTAACAAGACATAAAAAAAGAAGTCATGACTTCTCAATTTTATTCCTACATACAGGAAAATGTACATTTTCTCCCACAGCTGGCTTGTTTTGCAATGAATGGTATTCAGTGATTTTATTCCTTGGATGAATATAACATTTAAGTTTCACAAAAAAATAAGTTAGCAGAAGAAAAATTGTGAAGAGAGTGCAGAGATAGTTCAAAACGTTCACTGGATTATAGTAACTATTTCAAAGAGAATTCCAACTTTACAATTCTAGTAGTTGGAGACTTGTTACCACAATAGAATTGTGGTTTTAAAAAATCCCAAATGCTAATGATACGCAATGGAAATGGTTTAATACAGTTTTAGTATAAAAACTGTTTTTAAGCAACTTCTCTTGAGAGGGTGCACCATTGTTTTGCGAAATCTGTTTTGGTTTAACCTACAGATGTGTTTATGTCACAGATCCCTTATATTAGCTTGTAAAACCTTTCATTGTAGTCTTGCATTATACACTTCCAGCCCCAGAAGTGTTTTTTTGAATGAGCTCATTATTTTACCAGATATTCCTTTCATAAACAGCATCAGCGTATTTTTGTATGGTAGATCTGTTGTAGAAAATTAAGAGGTGTGGTTATTTAATTCAACTATTCAGCTCTGTTTTCTTTACCTCATCTCCACCCTCCCAGAGTGAAGTATAGCATGCACTGCTTGTGCATTGCCCAGCCTACTTTTAAGTATATATGCAAAAGCATAAGGATCTTGCACAAGGCGTTTATTTAACAATATTTTATTGCTACAGACATTATTTGTTTAGACCCTTGGGGACCTTGAATAAACAATAAGGTTTCACTGTAAGGGCGCTAGACAGATGATCTATTTGCATTTTCTTTTATGTTCTTGCAAATGTCTGTAAAACTGTCAGTTTGAAGGAGCCAGTTTATCAGTGAAAGGATAAGGAAGAGATAAGTCAGTTTAGTTCCACATGTTTGAAGCAGCTACTGCACTTACTAACATGTGTCTTGTGAATGAAATTATGCTACTGAAGTATTTGCATTTTTTTACTAAAGGCAGAAAAATTAGAATGCTGCTTCTGAGTTAAATCAAGTAAAAAAAGTATTTCCACAAAAAATTTGAATTAAAAAAATTACTTAGTCTAATACTATCTAAAAACTCCTTGAAATTCTCAACTGTGATAAGTCTGAGATTTACCCCTTTTAGTGAAATATATCTTGAGTTTGGAATGTGGATTTAGGTGATGATAAGCATGAAGAAGTTCAGGCCATAAATATTCTTACATATTCTTCAAAAGGAGTATCAGTTTATATAGGTGCCTGCCTTATGCTGTTGTCAAATACAAATTATCAGTGCTTTTTCTGTTATGTCTATATTTGAAAGTTTATTTTAACTTAAAAATTCATAGGGTTTTACATTTATACCTGATCTCTTATGTGCAATTTATTTTGATTTCTAGAAGAAAAGAATCAGGTCCTATCTCTATTGTCAGTGATTCCTTTACTTCCTACTCTAGCCTTTTTTGTCAGTGCTGTTGTGTATAAAAACAGAAAACCTAACAAAAACCCCAATCCATCTCAGAAAAGAAAACAAACAATAGAAAATCCAAGTTACTCTGGATTAAATGTATATTTCTTTATTAGCCTTGTGATGGCTGTTATGCCCTTTCATTGTCCTTGCAGATGTTTCTCTTGATTTTTTTTTTTTTTTTTACTTTTTCCTTTATTTTTCTTATGGCCTAAATATTACATTGAATTATTTTACCATCATTTAGTTGTCAAACTCATACTACTGTGTTGCACATTAAAGTCTTATTTATTACAGATAAAGTGATCTTTGATTTTGCTGTGCATTCAACATGGTGGGATTTGAGTTGTATTTGCTTTTCACTTCCTAACATACCAGCTAATTGGTGGATTACTTGTCACAGGTGGTTATATGTAGTAACAAGCATGCAAGCATTTACATAACAAGACATTTTGCATTTGCAACCCTGCACGTTGAGAAGACTTTCTTATTTTGAAGGGTTTGGATGCTATTTAAGTTTTGCATTTGATTGAACTACCCAGACCTGTGTTCTCATTTCCCCTTATGAACAGTGTATGGGCTTAAATCTACCACTGGGCATGGATTTAAGAATATTTTCAAGTTAGAGGGACTTATTTAATTGGAATAGGGATGTTGGGCTTCAGGAAAAGAGCTGAGAATGCTAGTGAAATTAAATAAATGAAAATGAGAAAATAGTTTTAAAGTCTTAATCCAACAGGCAGTGTATAGTGCATACGTAAAGGGGTGTGTGTATGTTAAAAAAAAAAAAAAAGAAAGAAAAAAGAAACAATGTAACTATTAGTAGCTACTAAGTATTCCACAAACAACTGGAGTTGAATCAAGTGGTTTATTGCCTTCTGTGGGGGTTAGCTTTTCTATACAGGAGGCTCAGTTCTAATTTTGACACAGTGTGTTAATTGCTTTTCATTGGGGAATACTCAGTGTTTTTTTGTGGTTTGACTATATAAAGCTAGGTCTTACAGAAATTAAAAAAAGAAATAATCTTTGATCTTTATTAGATAAATTATTTAGGAAAAAATGCCCAGAAGATTTGCATTTCACCTTGCTTTCAGCTAACACTTTGTTCCCTACTGTCTTGTCCTTCATATTCTATGGCCCACATAAAATGTGTTTCTGACCTGGTCATCCCAGACAAAGGTCAAAGTAAGTGTTTCATGCTGAATTTATGAAAGCTTGAAGGAATCACGTTCATATTCTATCTATGAAGAAATAAGGAAGTTCAAAACTTTTCATCATTTTTATCCATTAGTTTGAATTATTAGTTTCTGTGCTGTCTTTGTTGAAAGAGTAGAGAAAGGCATTTTCCATACATGAAATAAAACCTAACATGAAACCCCAGCGTTTATGGAGGAAGCTCCGTGTGCCAGTGTTCTGGAACAGAGCTTTAAAATATGACAGGGGAAAGAAACTTAGTATCTCAGGGAACAGTCTTAGCCACCTTTTTACAAATCTATTCCACTTCAGTCAAGTAGAAAGACTTTGAAAAGTTTGAGTTGGCATGTTTTGGTAGACACTTCCAAGATCTAAACAGTTTATTTCCAGACAAGCTGCATTTAATTGGGCTTGCTCCAGTTGTAGGTAGGGCAATCAGGAATTTTTCTAAAGTTACAGTTCTGAGAAGGATCACAGCTTTGCTAAGGTAGATGGGAGAACTGAAATGAAACCCTCCTCTTTCATGTTTGGTTTCATGTTGGTTTTTTTTTTTCATCCTCCCTTTCCAGCAGCATAAGAATCTGAAACTGGTGAGGTGAGAGGAAAGAGAATAGGACAGGGTCTAAGGCTGGAAAGAGATAGGATTGCAGATGGACTAGAAGCAGTTATACTCTTGGGAAATACACAGAAGTCTGTCTGCTAAGATTCATTCCTCTCTGTAGTTTGGAATGCAATGCAAGATTTGTGAGTCACCATTCCTATCCTGGCAGCAAATATCTGTGAAATCTCTGGCTGTCTTGCTTACCCTCTCTTCATCATTGCTAATAGCAATCCATACTGCAGTATGGACATTGTATTTCTCTTTATATACTGAACAGCAAAATTTAGTATTTACGGGTTCCTACTTTGCTGATGAGAGCCATGAAGTGTCAATTTGACAGAACACAATTGCATTTTTTTTATAAGTGCAGGATACATAAATGACCCAGTCTTCCCTATCAACCTTTGAATAATTGATGTGGCAAAGTTAATAACTCATAAATGAGGTTATACCACTGCTGTCATGCTAATGATGCTGGCAGTGCAACGGAGAATTTTATCATAGCTGTCTTTGTCACAGCGCCTGTGGTGCAAAAATGTAAGCCAGGCTGTTGAAAATATCCACTAGTTTTGCATTCTGTTTCATTTTGACACAAATGGGTTTTAATTTTTGACAAAATTCAAAGGTTTTCTGTGCAAGTTACTTGAAATTGGATTAACTTTTTCAGTAACCAAAAAACATGCTTTAAAATATTACCATTTGGCTTTATATTAGTATATTAGTTATACTAGGATATATTAGTACACTACAGGAATTTTCAGGGTATAAGATGTTATTTGTATTCACTGCTTAAGATTTTAAGTGTTCAGAGAGAATCATGGCTTGTAAGCCCGGAAGGGATTGCTGCAGTGTAGCCTGACTTCCTTCATGAAGCAAACTGCAAGGCCTCTGTGGATTACTTTCCTTTTGTTGAAGCAAAATTTGAAAAGCTTGCCCTGGCATGCCTCGTAAATGTGAATGTAAGTAAACAATCTGATGGCAAACCAAGTTTGAGGTACAAAGAGTTCAAAGGGGTTACATAATCCTCACACACACTTGAAAACCATGGTTTCTCAGAGGTTGAGCTTGAGGCTTTAGTTTCTAGTCCAGTTGTCTGACATCTTGCATGTTTTCTTACATAATTTGTTCATTACTTTCTCTTGTAGGAAGGGGATCATCTAATTCGAAATTGCCGTCTGTCCCTACGGTTTCTTCAGTGCCTGAGGATTCTGCTTCAAATATGAGGTGACTTTGTCTAAACGAATGGCTACACAGCTGTGCTGTAGTTCACCTTTTAGATACTGCAGTGGATATTGTGATTCCACATCACCTAAGAATGTTGGTTTGCTAATGTTCAATAGATAATGAAGGTTTGGGAAAATGAGTGTTGGATTATTGATTGCTTCTTGCACATGTATATCACTTAAACATTGCCAAAAACTATACTGCTTTCTACTAAAATTCTACAACTTCCTTCCATTTTGTTAATCACATATCTCTCTTTATTAGTATTACAGACAGGCTTGAACATGCTTTGGAAAAAGCTGCCCCACTTCTAAGAGAGATTTTTGTGGATTTTGCTCCCTTTCTTTCTCGGACTCTTTTGGGCAGCCATGGACAGGAGTTGCTGATAGAAGGTACAAGTAAGTTTCCCTTTAAAAAAAAAAAAAGTTTTTTTAAATGTCTGCTTTGGTTTCTCTTGGAGACTTTATACATTTCTATATTTTTTTCTGCTGGCTCTGCCTTAGAAGCTTTCTCTTTGCCTTCCTAGGTAGTGTTGCTCACTGGATATCACTGCCTCCTGTTCCTTCTGTCTTTAGTCCTCTGAGGTCATTGTCATTACCTCCTCATTTTTGCCATCTCTGTTGTCTCTATGCCTTCATCTCATCTCACAGTTTCCTGTATTTCATTATGTGGGACCAACTACTGTTGTCTCTTCATTAGTTTTCAAACCCTTCCGGGAATTGTCCCATAGAAGCTGTTGTGTGAAATGTGTTTTATGCACCTTAAAAAGAGAACTTGGTGTCAGGGCTAACCCTTCAATATAAGGGTTGTATCCTTCAATACAAAGGATAGTGTAAAAAGTCAAGTACAAAGACCCAGCACTTTGACTGTGGTAATCTAAAGAGGGCTTCTTGGGAACTATGTCAGCAGAGCCTGTTATGGTGTATGTCTTGCATGTGAATCAGCACTTGACTTTTTGATTTTTAATTGGAAGGCAGTCATGCGGGTAAGAGAAGTACATTGTTGGTATTGAGAGGAGTTCTCTGGTACTTCTGAGAAAAAGAAGATTCAGGTGTGCAATAATGATGATGGAGTCCTGCAGAAAGAGACTTGAGGGTACTGGTGGATGAAAAGTCTGACATGAGACAATTTGCACTTGCAGCCCAGAGGGCCAGTCGCATCCTGGGCTGCAACAAAAGAAATGTGGCCAGCAGATTCTGCCTCTCTGCTGTGCACTGGTAAGACCTCACCTGGAGGTCTGTGTCCAGTTCTGGAGTCCTCAGCACAAGAGGGACTTGAACCTGTTAGAATGAGTCCAGAGAAGGGCCACAAAAATGATCAGAGGACTGGAGCACCTCTCCTACAAAGACTGGCTGGGATGAGAGAGAGCTGGGATTGTTCAGCCTGGAGAGGAGAAGTCTCTGGGGACTTATAACTAGGCTATGTAGTGATAGGACAAGGGGAAATGGTCTTAAACTAGAGCAGGGTGGATTTAGATTAGATATTAGGAAGGGCTTGACCAGCCTCTAAACAACCTGATCTAGTAAAAAAGGTTCACTGCAGGGGGCGCTGGACTAAATGACCTTTGAAGGTCCTTTCCAACTCCACACATTCTGTAGTTCTATGGTAGTTTTCTTTCTACTTTTCACTCTTTAAAAATGAGGCTGAATTCCGCAATACAGATATTAATGTCCTAAATTTAAATATTTATTGGAACACTGTGAATTTAGCAGCTTTTAAATATTCAGGTTGTTTAGCTATATCATAAAGCTGTTTTTTTAGGAGCAGAAATTGCAGGTTTTGTCTAGTTCAAGCAGTGAATTGATTTAGGGCCTGAGCTTGTTGCAGCTTCCAGTAATTATTAGAAGCTCATGGTTGCTTGACTTATCTGATCGCTTACATGTGAACTGTATTTGCACGAACAGATGAAGTTGCTTCCTGGGGAATTAAAGTTATTTTTTTTTACATACTTTTGAAACTACATCTTTCATGGATTATGATAGGCATCCTGTATGTAGTGCTGAATATGATTAGCATTGTCAGAAACAAAATTAGAGTATCAAACACTGGTAAGTGTTTTACTGAAGATACAAAAAATGAGACTTCATTAACCTTCACTGATATTAAGTTTATTTAGTTTAGGAATTTAGCTTGCCTATCTTTTGGGGTAGAAGAAGTGTTAGGAAGAAGTGTATGAATTGTCTTCTCTAAGATGGGATTCTACTTTTGATTATACACATGGGCATCACTTTAGCTGATAAATAATGGTAGCTGCCTTGTGAACAAATTTGTTTTATTCTTTTAGTAGGAATAACAGGAAACAAATTTTTCTTAAAGCTCTGTTTGCCATGGAGGTAAATATCCTATTTAGTTATCTTTTTTCTTCTCTGAAGATGAAGAAAACATATCTGGTTTGGAAGTATTTTGTCTGTAATATAGGTTATATATGCAGAGAGATGAGTATTTCATAAATTGGATGACCAAAAAAAGGCAGGAAAATAGCTGGGACTGTTTGAACTATCTAGACAAAAATACCCACATGAAACCAATTTTTGGGGCTAAAAACAGCTATAGACAAACCCCAAACAAAATGCAAATAATAATAATAGTCAAATTAGTTCATAAACAATTTAGAATATATAATAGGTTACTGCTTGCACTTCTGCTAAGGTTTTGTGTGAGGTTAAGGGTCAAAGTACTAATAAGAGTGTTTGGGATGTCTGCTGCCATGAAACAAAATGGAAACTTGATTGATAGCTGGGGGCTGAAAGGAGAGCATGCAATGGAGAAAGCAAAGGTCATAAAGCCATTTCCCTTCTCTGCATATATAATGACCCAATCCTTCAAGAAATAGCAAAATGTAGATACAGTGGATTAATCTAACATATGTTAACCACACTTCAGATCATTTTGACATACAAACATTTATGAAACTGTGAATAATGGAGGTAATGTATTACTATTAGCTGCATCTTTAGAGGTGAGGCATGGAATTTGTTCTCCCTCTCACATACATACTTTTATTTTGTGCTGATAAAGTGCAAAATCTAACTGGAAGTGGTATGAGAATTTCTGCTTTCTTTTGATTGTCTAAATGCTTCTAATCTATTGCACTTGAAAATAGTTTTTGTTAATAGTTGGTGCCACATAAGCCTGTATTTATGTATACAATTTTTTCCCTTTTGTAGGTCTTGTGTGCATGAAATCAAGCAGTTCAGTTGTTGAGCTGGTGATGCTTCTTTGCTCTCAGGTGAGGCTTAAGTAACAATGTTGTTTGAAATTGCTGTCTTTGAGCACAGTGGAAATTACAGTTAAAATTTTACTGTACCTTTGGTTTTAAGTTTAAGATTATGTGTAATAGGTTAAAAGGCTACATGCAAGGCCTTTTGATTAAAAAATCCCACATAGAAATTGTCTGTTCAGTTGAAAAGAGAAAGGTTTTATGTTATGTTTCTATTGAGCATTTACATAACCTTTAGGATGGTGTGCCTAAGTAATTCTATGCTGTCATTTTTGTAAGATAAAATAGAGTCAATAAAATAGTAAGGTTATAGAAACAGATTGATTTCTGCATCTTGGCATGCTGAATCCTCTGGGATTAATATAATTTTTCCTTTTGTGTAGTGGCTATGAAATGAGTGATAAATATTTTTGAAACCCTGTCATACTTAATTGATTTGACAAGTACTAAGAATTTGACACATTTAAGAAAGCATCTCTGGTTGTGAGCAGTTTAGGGCATTCTACGTTCCTAAAGGCAAAGGAATTTTAGATGTGTAAGAGCCTGAGAACTGCCTGTTCCTGTGGTTAGAACAGAGCCAGACTCCAAAGAACTTTCTTGAAATTGGTTTCTTGCTTTCTTTTTTGTAATTAAATGGAAGACTGTTTTTATTGAGCCTTTCTTTTGGTGCCTTAAAAATGATACCTTTCTGGTAGTAAATTCCCCTACTTAAAACTTTAAAATAGCCTTTTTTAATGGGAATGGTATTGGTCTAGAGGTCAAGGGTTCTGACCCATTTAAAAACCTTTGACCTTCATTTACAGCCCTTATGGTTTGCTTGCCTGACGAATAAGGATAATGTAAAATTAATGTTTCTTCACATCGATTTATTCGTTTTAGTGCCTATATTGCCAAATTTATTTAGAGTGTGCTGATAGACATTTCATGAATACAAATGAAAGAATCATAGAAGGTGTGAAAAATCGATGGTCTACATTGTCAATAAAGTGCAATAAGAACAATTACTTCTGGAGATTACACCTAATAGATTTTACAATGAACTAGTGAAGAGTAGTTATGTTTTCTAGTGTGCTTATTATTAATGAAAGTATCTGGAACTTAGCTCATCTAGATTTCCATCTTCCTCAGGAAATATTCTATATTTTTACCCTGAAAGGAATTTAATATTCCTTATGGAATCACTTGGAATTTAGAGATGGTTATTTCACATATGGCAATATGGGTGTGGACATTGTTAATGACTTCTAGAATATGAAATTGCTGCTGATTTAAAATGGAAAAGAATCTTTGATATCAGGAAATCCATATACAAGTTTTACTGTTCGTTTGTCAATGTCTTAAGAGTTACACTGAAAAATCTGAGTATTGAATATGTGTCTGACAGCTTGGTATTACCATTCTAAAAATTAGTTTTTGGTATCCGTGCTACTTGTATCAATAATCAGTGGTTGACCTTTCCTTCTTTTTTGGTAGGGTAATCTAATCTTTTTTAAAATCATGTTGTGCTCTGTACTGTACGTCGCTTGTTTGGTTTTGGGAAGTGGAAAGGATAAGGAATAAATGACGTGCTCTAATGCATCTATTTGTCATGTGTCACGATGCCACTTAATGCTAATCTAATCAAATTGAGTATATCGTGATTGCTTAGCAGTGCTAGTTGCAGAGACTGAGGTTGTTCTTTGTGAAAGAGTAGAAATAAACCAATAAAGTCACAAAGACCTCAAAGTCTTTTTAAAGTTACGTAGCAGCTGTAATTTTTGGCAGAATATGAAAAATGATGTGAGAAATGAATCTAAAATTAGCTCCAGATGTATACAGATTGTTCTCTGGTGATAATTACATTTTTCACTTTGAATTTTCCTAATTCAAAGAGGTCAGCATGGCAATCACAGAAGTGATTTATTTTGTTAAGAAGTGAACTGTCTTTTGCTACATGAAAGCTTGAGAGATATGAAATTGAATTTCAAGCCGACATTTTACAGATACTAGGAGGAGATGGGGTTGAGCTTGATTGATTTTTTTCTTTTTTCCTTTTATTTCTTTCTTTTTTTTTTGGGGGGGGGGGGGGATGGGGAGACCCAGGATAGGGGGGGAAGTGAAGTGATATCCTTTTGCTAAAATTTCAATTAATTTTTAAGAAGAGATGGAGAGGATGAGGTGCCAAAGATCAAAAGATCAGGTCAAAAACTAGTTTTTAATCACATAAATAATGTGGCATAGTTACAAAGTAAGTATCTGCAAATTTGATTTAAAACTTCACAAATTTGTCAGCCATCATTTTATGAAATAGAGAGATTGCTTTGATTAATATCCTTGGTGGTTTTTATTTTAACCTCTTTCTAAAAATTTGTTTTGAACGTTGTATATGTGATATAAGCACTTGGATTGTTTTTCTGAAACATCTGAAATTTTTTTTGTATTTAATTAGATTTGTGGACAGAATATATTTCTTCTTTTTCAGAAGTGCAAAATGTAATAATAATATTTGTCTAATTTTTTCATAAATTATGAAAATAAACCTCTTTCCCAGGTGCAGTGATTTACTAAAATTTCAAAATATATCTTTTTGTGAATTTTTTTGCGACACCTGGTTAATTTCTTCTCTTGTTTGAAGTTCATATATTTAGGCATATGGAAAAAGACCATTCCTTTTGTGTTTTAGTTCTGTGTTTAAAAGCTCATGTATTGTTTTTATGTTTAACACAAGGTAAAAAGAGAAACAGGTGGTTTGAGATACAGACAAAAGGCTTTTTCTAAGACAAAACAGTTATGTTTTCTGATAGACACACTACATTTTGGGACGTGTCTCTGTGAGCATACTTACGTTTATATAAATCTATCAAAACATAAAGAAATCCTTCATTTAATATTACTGCAAAGTGTTCCTGCTTATTTGACATTAATATCATTTTTGAAAGGATCGACGTTGCATTCAAGGCCGCTTTATAAAAGCGTTGTGTTGCTCATCCTAATTCAGTCTGACACACATTCCAATAACACTACCTCCCTTCTAGGGTTTAAAACTAAATTTATGGCTGAGCATTGTGAAGTGCATCATTTAAAAATGGTTTCAACCCAAAACATCTAATAAATAAATAATGTGTATGGCTACTCAGTAGCAGACTTTCCAGACTAGAAATCATTCCATCGGATACTCAACAGTCCACTATCGGAGAGGGCTGTCAGATAAATCTTATAGTAGCTGCATTCATGTCCTGTAAATCACATGTTATTGTCTGAGCCTTCTGCCAGGTCATCTATTCTTTTCCCATTTATCAGAAATGCATACAGTACAGTGGACCTAGAAGCACCATCTAGTCTGGCCTGGCATCCTGTCAGGGTAATTAAACCAGCCAAAAGAGAGAAGTCCTGTGTCTATTATCCTTTTAAAAGAGTGACGTCAGGATGTGAAAGCTGCTCATGTGCTCCTGCGAGGCTTCTGCATGGGGAAGCTGTGATATCACCCATGAATAAAGCGTTTTCATCTAAAAGGACTCTCACTCTATGCCTAAAACACAAATGGGCATGTATGAATTTGAGTGTGTGTTTATCCATAAAGCCAATATCCTACTGTGCTTCCTTTTTTTGGTCAGGTGTTTTCTTGAGATACATGACTAAGCAGGAGAAACTGCCATCTTCCCTACAAACTCATGAAAGTATTGAAAACGTTTGTTCGTGGCTCACATGCATGAAGCATTTGTCCTATTAGTGTACCTCCAAGGTGAAAAGGTACAAAAGTAGGTGAAATAGGTTCCATAATTCTCCTAGATGCCTTTGAATTTAGAGGATTTGCAGCACTTGAAAAATGCTTCTTTCTGTAGTAAATCAACTGAATTGTCAATGGAATATGTGAAAGAGAGCTAATTAGGTGGTTCTTGTCAGATCCATCTTTGACTTAAGAGTATTTTCCTTCTGAATCCAGATTTTCTAGACCATAAAATAAACTTTCACTAACTGACTCAAATAATGTTCAGCTCTGGTATAATTTTCTAGAATTGGTGGAATCACACCCAAACCTTTGAAATGTTTGCAATTAAGAATTAAGGAATACTGCAGCAACTTTAATGATTCCTCCACCACCACTACCCACACACATACCTGGTTTGCTGGTTCAAGGTATAAAAAGCTTTTTGGTTCTTCCTTCCTCTGCTCCCTGTTGTTTCAAAGAGATTGAGGGCAAATTCTTGATAGCTGATAGCATATATATAACTAAATGTTTTAATACACTTAATCTCTAAGTATTTTATCTTCTAGAAATATTAATATGATATATTGCAATATAACGACATAGCTGTAGCTCTTAGATTTATATTGAACCTTGATAAAGTATATCTTTCATGGGGAGATAGAAGAGGTAATCATAAACTCTGATACTCCCAATTTTTATTTGTACACAGTGATAGCATCTGCTCATATGGCCCAATGAAATATGATTATAGTTGAATATCTTGTGTGCTGTATTCATAGTTTTGGGTTTGTTTTTTTTGCAGAGAAAAGCATAATCTAAGGCAATGTATGTGGATGTTCAAAATATAGCAGAAGCTTATTAGTAGTAGTATTAAAGCAGAAAAAATTACACTGTGAATGTTGGTCTTACTGTCTGTGTAGGTAAAGTTACAGGTCTTCAGCTCTTTTTTTCTTGTCCAACTCAGCTCAACAAATCCCATCACTGGTTAAAGGGTGAAATGTTTCCAAAAGGTTTTTGTTTGGCATGATCTTTCTTTCATAGGTTACTGAATCACTTTGCTAATGGATTCTGTTGCTCATAAAGCAGGCAATCTTAATGTATTAATCTTTTGCAGTATCTTTGTCGCATCGTGTCTTTTACTCTGATAGGGAGTCTTAATTATTTAAACTATATCAGCACATGCCATCCAGTCATGCACCCGTACAAACAACATGGTCATGTATTTCCCCCAAGGAAGAGCAATAGGGTGGTAGTTAAGATTCTGATTTTTCAGAAGGTTTTTTGCTCTCCCTCACCCCTCCTGCACCCCAGTACTTTGATG